AGAAAAAGACCACAGTGCTGTGAAAGTACCAAACAGGGTTCTCAGACTTCTTTCTCTGAGGAAGTGATGTTTGAGCTTGAGCCTGAAGGAAGAGTAGATACATTCTAGATGGAGAGGAGCTTATAAGAGTAGAGAGAGGTAAGGCAGTCTTTTGCCATCTGAGTGATGATGCGGTTGTTATATTCGTGGATTTTAGACTTCTCTGCTAGAATATGACCTGTTCAGGGCCAAGACTTCACATGCAAAGCCCTGTGGTGGCTGAGCAAGGCAAGTGTAAGACATAGGGTGGTGAGGTAATCCACATGAACTGTAATGCCGAGCTCCCATAGGAGCACCCATAGGCTGAGCTCCTCTGTTGGTTTGAACCTACCACTGGCTCTGCTAGAGAAAGATGGGCAGACTTCTCCCATGTTGTTCACCATCTTGGGGACCTATGGGTGGGTCAACTCAGAGCTGGCCCTGACTTGATGGCAGTGAGTCTGAGAACACTGACGTACAGACCAAGGAGGATGGTGAATTAGCAAGTGCCACAGCTACATCCTTGTACATCATATTGGAACGTTTATAATCCCTATAGACAGGACAGGGGATAAATTCAGATGAGGGCATGATCTTTTCGGGGGTGTAAGTCTACAAGAGTACAGATGTACTTTTACTAGTGTGGCGTAGCCTGAGAAACACCGTGGACATTCAACAAAATAAATGGAACAAATGATGGAGTGTGAGAGCTGAGTGGGAGATTACGAAGGGAAGCTTGAGGGGACAAAGCAAGTATGTCGTGGAAATGTGCTCAAATCTGGATAGAATAAGCTAGTCAAAGGGGTAACTCGCTCAGCATTTCTGAAACTGAAAGAACTGAAGGGGGAAAAGTGGAGCTTTGATTTGCAATATTGAAGGATTAATTCTATGTGCAAAATATTGAATGACAATTCAGGAAGCATCAAAAGAAGATGGAAGGAATACACAGAGTCACTGTCTGAAAATATTCCGGCCCACATTCGATCGTTTCAAGAAGTAGCATATGGTCAAGAGCAGATGGTGGTTGAAGGAAGACATCCAAGCTGCGCTGAGGGCAGTGGGGGAAAAAAAGACTTCAGGAACTGGTAGAATACAAATAAGATCTTTCAACAAATGGATGCAGTCTATTCATCTATGCCAACAAATTTGATCAACTAACTGGAACTAATTCATATTTGTACTCCTTCCAAAGAATGGTGATTTGACAGAATTTGGAAATTCTCAGACAGTATCATTAAAGTGCACACAAGTAAAATTTTGATGAAGGTAATTTTAAAAAATGGTTACTGCGGTACACCAAGAGGGAACTGCCAGACATTCAAGCCAGATTCATAAGAGATTGTCGAATGAGGGACATCATTGTTGATGCCAGATGGATCTTGGCTGAAAGCAAGGATGGTTACCTGTGTGTTATTGACTATACAAAAGCATTTGACTGTGTGCATCATAACACATTATGGGAAACATTGTGAGGAATGGGAATCCCAGAACACTTATTGATGCTTGTGTAGGACCTGTGCATAGACCAGGAGGCAATCATTAGAACAAAACAAGGGTTTAAAATCAAGAAAGGTCTTTATCAGGGTTGTAGCCTGTCACCATACTAAAATCAGTCAGTATGCTCATCAAATAATGTGAGACTCTATTGTGTGAAGAAGGATGTGGCATCAGGATTGGAGGAAGACTCCGTAACAACCCATGTTAACAGATGACACAACCTTGATTGCTGAAAATAGAAAGAACTTCAAGAACTTACTGAGGAAAAGGAAAAAAACCAACAACCACCAAACCCAAAATCCCTATAGCCTTCAGTGTGAATTACACTTCAACATAAAGAAAACAAAACTCTTATAACTATACTAATAAATATCATCATAATAAATAGAAAAATATTGAAGTTGTTGATTAATTTCATTTGGATTCCGAAATAGCAGTCAAGACTATTTTCAGTCACTTCATATACATGGAAAAACTGGGTAATGAATAAGGAAGACTGAGGAGGAGGTGACTTTGAATTGCTGTGTTGGTGAAGAACGTTGAAATACCATAAGTAAGAAGAACAACATGCTTGGGAGGACTTTGTGCTTGGAAGGGTCGAGAGACAACCCCGGAGAAGAGACTCTGGATGAGATGGATTGGCACTGTAACTGGGATAATGGGAAAAGTGTGTCAGAGACAGTGAGACTTGCTCAGTATAGAACAGGATTCAGAGCTATCAGGAAGAGGGTTGTCTTAAAAGGAGTATGGCCAGAACATTCTTCAGAAGCAAAGCTTTGACTCCTGTAATTGATACATGTATGTACCAAGAAGGACCAGTCCCTGGAGAAGGATGCCATTCTTGGTGCAGCAGAGGGTCAGAGAGAATTGAGACTATCCATGAGCAGGGTACAGTGCCTGCAGCAATGGGCTTAAACAGATGGGCTTAAACATTGATTCTGAAGAGGGCGCAAAATTGGGAGGTGTTTGTTCTGTTGTGCGTAGTGTTACTGTGAGTTGGAACCAACTCGATGGCGCTTTGTGACGAAATGCATCAAAATTAATCAGCCGAGTGTCACTTTTGCAAGTCGTCAGCTCCCTGTATGCTCGCTCACATCCATCCCAGCCAGACTTGGGCATCTGAACCTTCCAGCCATCAAGGTGGCCTCTGTGTTAGACCTCTTGCCAGTCACATATGTATGCTAATGGCTTTTACATAAGTTTCCAGACACCTGCAAGGAAAATGTATAGATGCTATAGAAGAAGCACTCAGATGGCTTGGTGGTAAGGATTTGTGCTGCCAGTACAAGAGTATGTGGTTCAAATCCAGCAACTGATCCATAGGAGAAAGATGAGCAGTCAACTCCTGTGTAATTTACTGCCTCTGAAAACCTGCTGGCAGTTCAGCTATGGGTCACTTCCGTCGCCACAGTTAACAACAACAACAAAGGAGAGCGCTATTTTCTTTCCCCGCCAAACTCTAACTTTGAAACATAAGGACTGCCTCTTGTCAAGCAGGTTGTACTGGAGATAATAAAACCATGTTAAATTACTCCTTGGAGGCAAGGATTTTGTAACTGTCTGATATGCTTTGGACATGTGATCCGGAGGGACCAGTCATTGGAGAAGGACCTCATGCTTAGGAGGGTGGAGGGACAGTGCAAGAGAGGAAGACTCTGGGCAAGATAGATTGACTCAGTGACTGGGGTAGTGGGACTAGTTGTGTCAGAGACAGTGCAATTGGCTCAGGAAAGGGAGAGGTTCGGAGCTACTGTTCATAGGGTCACTGTGAGTCCCAGGCAACTCGATCACCCATACCCAAAACATAAACAACAATGAAAAGAAAACAAACACACCAGATGAAAAAGTGTCCTCAGTTTAAAAAAGACGACAGGTTCTAAGAAATAGTGCCTACGATTACTGGTCTATTGACTTTATTCAGCTATCCTTACATGTCAGAATCAGGGACTATTATTTGAGATTGTAGCAATTTTTTTTTTAAAGGAAGCTTAGTGTTTGAGGTTTGGCTTTGTTTTGAACATTGGGATGGCATCTTGTGCCCTCCTTGGGCTGTCTTTATAAATGCCACTGAGTGGGGGACAGCAGTGTGCCTGGGCACAGCCTCGGCTCCCGGTGTTCAGCTGTCCCTCCAGCTTGCCTCACTTCTTCTTAAGAGTAACAGTTGGTTGAGAGGGGAGCTTGACCCCAGAGGCAACAGAGGGCTCCAGCAAGGAGGATCCTCAATGAGAGCAAAAGCCCCCTCCAGGCCTCTGAATGCCTCTGTTTCGCTGACTTGGGTTGGGTTTCCTTACAGCGCACTGCATGAATGAGATGTAGAGTTAACATACTGGCGGCGTTTCAGCTGAACGTTGGCAGGACTTTCCAAGCAAGAGTGTGAATCTAAGTGGAGCACTGTTTCCAGGCAGTGGGCTGGGAGTCCTGGCTATCCTGCCAGTAATGAGTGCAGCGTTTTTATGTTCAGAGGGTAACAAATGGACTTCTTAAACGGACCTGCTGGCTTGCTCTGTTAGACCATGGAGAGACTCTCTCTGGTCTTTGCTTTACTATAGTTGTAGTTTCTAGGCAATTAGAAATATTTTCCACTCAGCGTTTAAGATGTTTGAGCTAGCCCCAGACTCTTCCCCCAATTCCTTGTCCACTTCCTTTTGTAACTAATAGTTTTTCCCTTTTGTAAGCAGGCTGATACTTTAAGTAGCAAGCCCTCCCAAATAGCACATAAGACTTTGCTCACACAATTACTATATTTGTGGTAGGATTAGCACCTTCCAAAAATAAAGTTCTATATAAGATTCCCATTTTTCCCAGGAGTATGGGTCTTTGTAGCACTCTGTGAAGATTTGGGTCAGGAGGGATCAGCCCCATCCCTTAAAATTTTGTTATGAAGGCCACCATTAAAAAAAAAAATTGTTCATGAACCAACAGGTAAAGGAAATGTGTCAAGAAAAAAAAAACCCTAATAGTTAATCATGTTTTTTATGTTGAAGTCACCTGAATTCCACCAGCAAACTGCTGCTTTTTATGTAATCTCTCGTATGTTCTTGATAAACAGGTTCACTCCCTCCTTAAGAAAATGATACCTCCCCTTAGACCCTCATCTGGGAGTACTCTACCACGCCTGGTAAGAAACCAGCATCATTTCATGATATGGAGCTGCGAATGGGATGTAGATAATGGCTTATGCTTTCCTCTCCAAATGGGGGGAGAACCAGATGTAATTGAAACTTACGATATCAAAGGGTAATTTTATTCCATTATTTTTTTTGAAAACAAGGAGATATCCTGGCCAGAAAAGTAGCCTTCAGTGGGCCCACAGCCCTGTGTGGTGCTGAACACAATTGGGGCGCATCGATCTGGCCTTCCCTGACCCTCTCCTCCTCCAGGCCATCTCTGTTCACCCTGGTCCCCTCTTTCAAACAGCACATGCTGTCGACACTCAGGAAACATGCTAAGTCACTGATAATGAACTTGCTGTCCATTTTTTCCAGATCTCCCAGCTGATGACAGAGACCAGCAGAGAGGGGCTCACAGAAGCAGCGCTGAACCGGTACAATGCGGACAAGCCTGTGGCCTGCAGCGCCCCAGCCGCACCAGGTCCCAGCGGGGCTGGCGAGCCGTCCTCAGGCACCTCGGTGGCTGCATCCTTCTTCGCAAGGTACGAGCGAGAAGCTTCAGTTCTTTCAGGGGGATGGGGTGTGTGTGTGTGTGTGTGTGTGTGTGTGTGTGTGTGTGTGTGTGTGTGTGTGTGTGTGT